TTTACCAGTCCATGAGTGAAATGAAGCTGTCCATAATTGTACTAAAACCTCGAGTTGATTCCATCGCAACGGGAAATAGGTATTCCAAAAGCATGATGATAGTCATAATAAACCTATCAAAGAAATCTTCATCGCTATCATCTGATGTTGAATCCTCTCCATCATCTGTCATAATAATTTTCACTTGATTCACTTTGTCTGTTTGATTGTTTGAAGATGATGGTATCGACATCATCACCACTCCACACATCAGATATTGTGTCAAACACAACAATACAATTACCCTGATAATCATTATGAATACAGATTAATGAAAGTGTATAATTCTGACAGAGAGATATCAATGCTTATTTATATTAGTCTGTTAACCATATTCGTGATTTGGCATAGATTTCATGTGATTACAATTGTAAAATGGAGTCAACAATTAATCATGCTATTACAATTTTCTTTTGAAATGTTTCATTTAGTAAATAAGTGATCAGTAAAAATGAAATTCTCATATTTTATAATGCAGACTGGTTTTTTCCACATAACTAGAAAAAGCCAGGAAGCACCGAATAACTGTTTCGTCACACTATGAGACTTCTTAATCTTATGCACTCACCACCCACCCTGGATAGAACACATGATCTGGTCGGACGTGAGAGAGTTAATCACCTCAGGCAATTGAAGATGGTTAAACAGAATCGGGCGTTGATTGAAGTCAAGGATGTATACCGTTGGATTTTAACTTAGCTGTCAATAAGTTATGCATTAGAAATTAAACCGAAATCCCTAAGTTCAATTCCCAATGAGGTTGTGGAATTACCATGATGATGTATCCCATACTAGGACGAAATAGCTGTTCAATTATTTCTGGTTACACTGGTTGCCTCACTTATTTAATCAAGTATATAACTTACAAAAATTCAGAAATTTCGACGAATACTATGTATTAAAAATTGGCTCAGTTATTTTACATAACTTCACATATATCACACATTACATTTATTGAGTTCGGATACTTCGGATAACATAAGTTCTGTGATAATGCTCATTGTACTTGATTGAAGTCGAAAAACGTGCTAGTTTTCATTAAATTTGGAATTTCTGGCAAGTATTCATTAGACTGACTAATCTACGTATACCATTATGATTTAACGGATGTTATCAATTAAATCTAAGGAGAGTATTTTACAGAATTTCGAAAATTGTCAGTTCGATGCATGGGTTGCCACTAGTTATTTAGTCTCAGTCACTATATCATCATTCATTACTGTGTCGAGTTAACAGAATAGTGTTCTTTTTACAGGCTATTTCAGTTGATTTGTTAGACTGGATGTAAATTTTATTTTGGCCATGTGCAATAAATCAATCACTTCTTCTTATCTAATAATATTTATACAGACGATGAACGTAAATATTGTGAAATCATAAAGCCGTTGTGTGCGCTACTTATGCTGGTAAGCGTTTTTTTAGCGAGTTAGTTTTCCACGGGATGAGGACCTTAACCCCATGCCCAACCCTCCTACTTTACCCGGGCTTGGGACCGGCAGTAACTCTAGAAGAGCTACGGGTCGAGTTGTGCTACTTATACAGACAGATATAATTAGTATGTATGAGGCATAGGGATTAGAATTCTTGAAGTCTTTATCCTCAACTATTTGGTGTCGCTGCCTCTACTCAGGGTGAAGATAACATGGCCGTGAGAGTTAGAATATGTAGATGTACTGAACTTCCTATTGGGGTTTGAGGCTGCTACAGAGCTGGTGGTTTTGTAGGAGCTCAAGACCAAGTTGGTGGTTCAGCAGACGCGCCCAAGATAGTATATGGCAGCCTGGAGGGTACCGGTGGGAAGACAGCATGGGGGGCGGTCGCAGAGTTTGACAGCACGTTTGACAGGCATGATGCACTGCAGAAGTTCCGGTTGCCGAAGTTGTTGGTGGATGGCGACCGAATGGTGTTGGAAACGAAGCTGACAAGGTTATTACGTCTTCGAGAGAGTAGTCGGAAGTACAGTTGCTAGCATCGCAGTTCATTGAGAATGTGACCCAAACGGTAGCTCCGATTGAGTCCGAAAGTCAAGAGATAAGGAGTATCGAGAAGAAGAAAGAAGACCTACAGCGTAAGACAGCAGCAATCTCAGAGAATAATAAATGTTACGCTTTTGAAGGAACAGGCCATTGGAAGAGAAACTGCCAGACATGACGAAAAAGCAGGGAATTCAGACGATATAATTCGTACTCTTTCTATCCAATGAAACTGGGGGTCGTTGCATTAGTAGATAGAAGGGCAATTTATGCTAAAGTAAGCCTAAACAAACAAGAATTAGTGTGTCTGAACGTTATAGTAGCAGCAGTATCAATAATATGCAAAAAGGAATGCAAACGACTTAGGCAATCTATGTTAGCTGTCCACACCATAGGGGGCCACATGTTACAGGCTTCCAGAGTGTCTGAAAGCGTCGTAAAAGCTGAGAGCCATTAAATAAATTCCTTCTTCATGGTAGCCACAAACATAAAGAGACCGATATTCGGACCAGATTTTCTAAGAGAAGTAAGGGCGATGATCAACTTAAGAACTAAAAAGGTGGTCACAAAGTACAGTTCATTCTCAAGTAGCGAAGCAGCTGAGATTTTGTGACAAAGTATGGCATAAAATTCCGATAAAGGACTGTCAAGTAACTATTTACAACACGTTGTGTTCTCGTACATTTGGAGGCTGAGGTAAACCGACAAGTTCAAGAGATGTTGGAAGAAGGTATGATTGAAGAAGTGGACAGCCAATACAACTCACTGGTCTTCTTGGTAAAGAAACCAAATGGAAGTAAATATTCTGTGTCGATCCTACAGAACTGAATAACATAACAGAACTAAAACCGTGTGCAATCCCAATAATAGAGGAAGTATTATATCAGCTACAGAATGCCACGGTATTTAACACAGCTGGATTTACGGTGAGATTATTCGTAACTGCCGACAAAATGGAGCGATAGAAACGAAGCAGCATTTACGGTACATAAGTAGCAGTATCCGATTGGACGAATGCCGTTTGGGTTGGCAGGTGTACCGTTTACATTCAGAATATTAACAACGCTGCTCTTCAGGGATCTAGAAAACGTCGATGTTTATGATGACGATGTAGTTGTGTATAACCATGAAGTGACAGATCACTTAACGTATGTTGAGGCGGTTCTAAAGCGAATTGAAGAATTTGAACTACGAATAATAATAAAGCAGTATCATGTTGTTGAGGTGTAAAGTGGGAAGTGAAGCAATAAAACCACTGTTGGAGAAGATTCTAACCTTAAGTAGTATTGCGGTACCCATTTCGAAAACGAAATTGAAATGATTCCTGACAAAGGCGGCACTCTAAAGGCAATTCGTTAAAAACTACAACGACGTAGCAGCGCCCCTTTCTAAGTTGCTAAGCAACATTAAGTTTACGTGAACAGAAACCTCACAACAAACTTTTAACCGAATCGAAGACCTTTTAGACGACCGCCAGATGACTTTGAGACTGCCAGGATACTAGAAACCGTCTACAGCGGCCGCAGATGCATGTGATCATAGCATGGGTTTTGTCTTAAGTCTGTCAGCCAGAGTGGTGAATTACGCGAGTTGTTACCTTACTCTCACTGAAAAAAATTATTCTATTGTTGAAAAAGGTGTTTAGTGATTGTGTAGGGGGCAGGCAAGTGGAGAAAGTACCCACTAATTAGGCGGTTTCACATCGAGACTGATCATAAACCTCTACTGTGGTTGAAAGTAGCAAAATAACCTGTGGGAAGTTGACGCAATGGTTATTACGTCTGCAGGGGCACGATTTCATTATCAGGCATGTTCAGTGAAAGGAAAATGTAGCGGTGGATTACCTGTCAAAGCCGGATTCCGAAGCTGAACTTCCACCGACAGCATATTCAGTGAATAGCCTATAAGGACATCAACTAAAACTTATCCGGCAGCAAAAGGTTGACCAAAACATTTGGGAGGTAATCAGGGAGATAAAACGAGGAGCAGAGGTCGAAAAACGGGCGATAGACAAGAGAGTAACAGTGTTGCTTCTACTGAAGGAAAGGCTGAGGTTAAATCTATGAGGAGCCACGACCTGGTGGGATAATAACGAGAATCGGGTGGCGGCAACCTCGAAGGACTCACGGCATAAGATAGTTTATGAATGTGACCAAATAGTACATACGGTCAGTCAGCTACAACATAGGACCAGGCACGTATTAACAAGCATTTACGCTATGAAGATTGAACTTGCAATACTGACATTCACTCAACTACCTATTCCTAATCAATTCAATAGATAACTCAATACTACATGAAATACATAGAAACCAATTTGTAAAGCAGGTCAGAGAATTGTTCATAACAATGTAAAACATTTTACGCATTATTGCAACAAAATGATGAAAGTCAATCATGTTTGAATTTCACTAAGAGAACAAACTAAATCCAGAATTCACCTCCTCCATTATGATAAACTTCAGCCGATACGATAAATTTACCAGTAATTACTTCATCATTTACATTCCAATTACTTCGAGCTGTACACATGTTTATTTTATTTCGAATCAATGAAGACATAATCGACGTAATATATTTATTTCAGTGTTCACTTCTTCCAATCTCTCCTTCATACATTTCATCCAGTTACTATTTTGTATTGCATTCGTTTTTCTTTCCACAAATCTACTATTTAACCAAGTCAGATGAATTACATTCACATTATAAAACCATAACTCTCCATTGTTTGCAAGCACTGAGTTTATCGAAATAAAGTAATCTATTGATCATGGTTATTTGAATTGTACACATGAACATACGTGAACATATTAAATTTGTTCTGCTTAGCACTATTCACAGACATTCTTGTGTGCAGCGTCCACTACACTAGTATCACACTCATTTCCCTTCACTTATCAACTTCCTTTCCAAGAAGCAATAAAAACGAACAACAAATTAATTGTTATTCATTTCTAAAATGATCTTCATCACAAAGTGACATTAACTTTGAGGAATTGTTGAGTAACAGGTAACAAATAACAATTCTAGTAGTATACAATCATACTTCACGACAACTCGATTACGCTCATCTACTGACTCATCACAATTAAAACAAATCCAATCAGCTTAATAGTGATGTCCATTTCACTTGAACAATATAATACTCATCACATAGTACACACATACTAGTCATCAAATCAATGTCTAATCCTAATATGTAATCCATTCATAAGTATTCAATGCAAATTCGATTCAAATTAAATTTTCGCATATTCATGCTCTATCCATCCATCTTTCACATTATTGAACATGATCACTTCTCTGTAGTCTAGTTAAAATAGATTAAAGTAAACAGATCGAAACTCGTATCTATTGTTATGAAGATTTCACAGAGCCTAGATAATTCACGTGAAAATGTGAAGATCGGAATTGGAAGTGGAATACACCAAGCAACATAACTGTGATAATTGACATGAAGCATTCTCAACATCTATCGATCAAAATGGAATAATGGTGTTGATGCGGAACAGGCTGAAAGTGGCTGGACAAAACAATAATTGCAAGTGAAACCTACAGAAATAATCCATTCGAATATACATGAATAACACAAGAAATCTATTGTATTTGTTGTCTTAATGAGAATATTGTGTAGAAGGAAATGATAATGCACCTAAATAGTAAGTTTCATAATAACAACAATAATAATAATGACATGAATAGTAATAATAATAATAATAGTTAGGTCACAGTAAGTCAGTCATCCACACAAAACTATTGATATTACTAACATATGAATACATTTACCATAACATATTTCAGTAATGAAGACTATTTGATAAACTAACATTTATTTCTCATCAACTGACTGATATGTTGTATACAAGAGTAGTACAGATCATTAATAAATATTGAAATCAGTTCATTTATACGAATGATTTATCAATGTATTTAAAAACACACAGTACATGATTATGTTTGCTCAATCCACGTAATCTAATGACATGAACTTCATGAAGTTCATTTTATACACCCATAGTTGTATTATAACTTGGCGTCGAATCCTCGCAAAATCCAAATAGGTCTCTCAAATACACTATGAGAGTCAGCATGAGATTAATGACGGAATTTCCATCTTTATCGTCTGATGTTGAATCCTCTCCATCATCTGTCACCGTGTCTTTCACTACAATAACTTCGTCTGATGCAATGTTTGAAGATGCTTGTGTCGACATCATCACCACTTCACACATCAGATATTGTGACAAACACAACATTACAATCGCCTTGATAATCATTGTGAATACAGATTAATGAGAGTGTATAATTCTATCAGAGAGATATCAAAGCATATTTATATTAGTCTGTTTACCATGGTCGTGATTCGGCATAGAGTTCATGTGATCATAAGTTTAAAATGGAGTCAACAATTGATCATGCTATTACAATTTTCTTTTGACATTTTTCATGTAGTAAATAAGTGATCAGTAATATGTATTGAGTGATCAAACTGTCTTTCATTTCCACCTGTTCACTTCGATTCAACCATAATGAATAATTCGACAGACCATAAATTTCGGTTAGCCATTACAGTGCGTCAATCTGTGTCTATTCACATCGATGAATGATATATATTTGGTGGATAGGCTTGACAAGTTTCAAATGGCTCAGTTGAATAATTATGGTGGACAGAAGCTCTCAGTTTTTACTCATTGTGATTAAATCAGTGTTTACTATGGCAATACTCGGGAGGAATGAATATCATTTTGTATTAACCAGCCAAATACATTGAGCGTTCATTTCAGGAACAAGTAGCACTGAGAGTCATGTCAATGTCACTGGAGATCACTGTGAAATACTTTGTCTATAATTACGACGAAACATACAATAATTCAATATAGGAGCATCTAATCAACTATGGATACGTGGTTCTGAATGGATCTTCATTTGAACTTATCCATTCCATCAAAGGAATTGGATGGATGGATGGATGGATGGATGGATGTGAGGTCGATTCGAAAGCTAATGCACTACTGAGGTGTTGTTAAACCACCAATTCAAGACCGAACACTGTATGCAAACCGATGAGTTCAACCTCTTATTCTACCTTGAGCCTAATTTACTTATGCAGTATATTTTGATCCTGTTTTATCTATTCAAATTTTTTTTAGTTTTAAACCGTAATCGGTTGTTATTATTATTACATTTTAGCAACCAGTGATGGTTATTATTTATTTGTTATTATTATGACCTTTATGTTCTTCGTTTTCCTTCATATCTGTCAAGCAGATGATTATCTTTCAAAATTTAGAACCTTAAACTATTTTCATGCTTATATTCTAGTGTGATCCCATAATGATTACGAGACCTCATTGAATATTTGGAATCTTGAATCCCTACATGATGCGATTGTTTCTATCCATATACTCACATATATATCTGCCATACAACTATTAATATGAATGTACAGATCAAGTAAATGATTTCGTAGAAAAGAAAATTTTCCTCTCTGAAATCTCGTCATTTCCATTCATTGACACAATCAGTTATTTTGATTATCATACAATAAGTATTCTCACATAATTATTTTTAGCTTAAACAACAACAACGACAACGATTCTTCATCAAATAATTAGTCCACAAGACTTGAACATCTTTCTTTTGATTCCAGTTGGTATCGGGGATACTCAGCTTCCATGAAATATCATGATAGGACAATGCAGCTATCGATTTCAACCTTCCTTTCAATAGTGCCCCTAATTAGTTTCTGATCCTAAGGAATACTATCTGCATAGATTCTTGACTGATTGGCTTAATTATAGTCAAAGTAGTTCATGTTCAAATCTATTCAAATATATGATTCTTGTAGGAAATTGAAAACCAAATTTCAACGAATAATGTATAAGAAAGTTATTTGTTAGTGAATCATGAATAATAGTTGAGAAACTAAAGAATATGGAACTGAACAGTTTGATATGGTGTTCCAAACTGATGTGAACGTCAATCAGTAGAAATAGCAGCTCAGATGAATTTACATTCATAGACGTGATTATTTTGATACTAGGACTCATCATCAACCCGTCAGAAGAAAACGAAAGGGGGATATTCAGTAAGCAGCATAATCTGACTCTGATCATTACTTGCAATGCATCTGTAATTTATCCTCCATACACGACGTTACAGTGTAGTTCATCGTATGAACTCCCTATGGTGTTGACGATTATCTCACCTACTCACTACATAGTGTCGAGGAAGTTTCCATCATGTTCTCCTATCCACACTGTCAAATGCTTTCCCATAATCAAGGAAGTTGATGTATAGTGATGGATTCAATTCAATCGATTGTTCAACCATGATTCGTTATGTCACGATATGGTTTGTGCACGACCGATTCTCACGGAATCCGACTTGTTGATGTAGAACATGTGCGTCTACTGAATCTATCATCCGGTTCAGCAACATTCAGTTGGAAACCTTTACCGGTACTGACGTTAACGTAATGCTTCTGTAGCCGAGTTTTCACATTTGCTCAGATCTACTTTCCTTGGTATCTTGATGTAGTATCATTTCTTCCTTCCATTGTTAAGTAAATTTCTCGTTTTCCTTAGTATTCCTAATAGATTCTCCATACTTTCCATATACCTCTAAAACTGTTGCTCTGATTGTTAGGAGGAGATTCGATCTCGTGACTTCCAAAAAACCTCGGCTTTCATCATGAGGTGTCATAATTCTGGTTAGCGCTTTTTAGCAAGGTTGTTTTCTACGAAATGGGGTTGCTGATCACACGCCCAACTTGTGTAGATCTGGGACCAGCATTAGCACTAGTAGAGCTACAGATCGAGTTCAATTCATCACATACAACATGAAAATAGCCTATGGTTCTTACTGTTAATCAACAGATAAAATGAATAAGAAATAAAAAACTATTGACGACTTTCAATAACATTTCAACTTGTTCGTGAAATAGTATGACATTGCAGTGAACATGAATCAAATATATTGCACTTCATGAACATCATGTGTTTCAAAGAATTCAGTGGCAGAGTGATATACTGTTATTTGTTGCATTTCTATTCACTACACAACCTACGTCAAACTACTGAAACGACAACTCACAAGTACTGTGTAGATGAAACGAAATTAATTCCATGTGCAATATCTTCATACTACTAATATTTCAATGCCCTGGTACGGCTGAGAGTGGGGAGAGTCCGCTCTCCCTCTCGAAATGCTCTCACATGGCCACGCGTATATAGCTGTGAGTAGGTCACAGCCTTCTCGTGGCGGGGGTGTTGTTTACGAAAATGAGAGAACGAAAAGCGAATGTCCGGCGTTTTAACCGGATTCCAAAACAATAGTGCACTTGGGCTCCAGTATCCTGATGGAACAAATAGCGTATGAACCAATCGTTGGTCACCGGCTACCATGGGACTGCATCTCCTTACGATGCTCCACTGCCTTGTGAATCAGACCCTCAAGTCAAAGGCTCGGGGTGTGCCCCCCTAAGAAAACCACCTGCTTCGGTCTGGGCACCCGGGCAGTATCACAGCCCTCACACGTATCGAATGAGATTTGTGTGGCGCATATGTATTTGGTGCCTCTTTGTACCAATATCTATGTGTTGAAATAAAATAAATAAATAATTCTTATCAGGAAGTACATACATGATCATTTGACACGCTCTACAAAACCAAATCAACTTAATAATCATGTCATCTGTCACTCAATGATATGTTAATGTTAGACCAACTCAGAGGTCACACATTCTCAAAATGCCACACAAACGGATAGTGTTATGAAATTTTCTGGCCACACGCATATTATTGTATTGTATTGATAAGTGATTAGTCAAAACTTGAAATTCATGTGAATGTGAGTTGACAATTTCGGAGGTTGAAACTGATTCATCTATGAACCGTTTGATATGAGAAATATTTCCATCATTTTGTTTTGTCTATTCTATCTTGATGTTGATTATTAACAACTTATTCTCTTTGTGTAAACATGACAGATAATATGAATAATGTAATAGTTTGACGTGGGAAGCATTTCTCACATTCAAACATCTGATGTCGAGTCCTGCCCATCATCTGTCACCATGACGTTCACTTCAATCACTTCGTCTGATGCAATGTTTGAAGATGCTTGTGTCGACATCATCACCACTTCACACATCAGATATTGTGACAAACACAACATTACAATCGCCTTGATAATCATTGTGAATACAGATTAATGAGAGTGTATAATTCTATCAGAGAGATATCAAAGCATATTTATATTAGTCTGTTTACCATGGTCGTGATTCGGCATAGAGTTCATGTGATCATAAGTTTAAAATGGAGTCAACAATTGATCATGCTATTACAATTTTCTTTTGACATTTTTCATGTAGTAAATAAGTGATCAGTAATATGTATTGAGTGATCAAACTGTCTTTCATTTCCACCTGTTCACTTCGATTCAACCATAATGAATAATTCGACAGACCATAAATTTCGGTTAGCCATTACAGTGCGTCAATCTGTGTCTATTCACATCGATGAATGATATATATTTGGTGGATAGGCTTGACAAGTTTCAAATGGCTCAGTTGAATAATTATGGTGGACAGAAGCTCTCAGTTTTTACTCATTGTGATTAAATCAGTGTTTACTATGGCAATACTCGGGAGGAATGAATATCATTTTGTATTAACTAGCCAAATACATTGAGCGTTCATTTCAGGAACAAGTAGCACTGAGAGTCATGTCAATGTCACTGGAGATCACTGTGAAATACTTTGTCTATAATTATGACGAAGCATACAATAATTCAATATAGGAGCATCTAATCAACTATGGATACGTGGTTCTGAATGGATCTTCATTTGAACTTATCCATTCCATCAAAGGAATTGGATGGATGGATGGATGTGAGGTCGATTGGAAAGCTTATTCACTACTGAGACGGTCGCAATACACCAATTCAAACGCGTACTGTGCGTGCAAACCAATGAGTTCAACCTGTTTCCATTTCTTGACCGTATTTCACTTCGGCAGTTTGGTTTGGTCCTTTCTATGGCTGAACATACAGACCTTTCTATATATATCACTCTGTCAATGATCGAAGAAATCAGGATTGTCATCAGAAATATCAAGTGTGGCAAAGCACCAGCACCTGACAATATATCACCTGAATTGCTGAAGCCACACATAGAATTAACTGCAAACATGCTTCACATTCTATTCAGGAAGATTTGGGAGGTAGAATAAGTGCCACCGACAGACTAGAAACAAGGATGCTACATCAAGATATCGAGGAAGGGAGATCTGAGCAAATGTGAGAACT